TTGCCCCTGTGCTCCTGAGGAACCTCCTCCACTGCCCCTGCTTGTGAGAAGGATCCCTGAAGAGGGATGGGGAAGGGGGATGGAAGGGTGGGAGGGCACAGAATTGTATGGAGTATCCTCTCTCTACTGTGCGGAGCACCCAACAGTCTGAGGTGACACAGGACCAGGCACGGTAGAAAGGGGATAGTTGGGACGAGAAGGTACGGTGGGGTGGATCCTGCTGGGGATCTGGTGCGGTGTCCTTAAACGCACCTTCAAAAGGCCTGTTTCGGCCAAGAGAGTGGTTTAGATTGGCCAGAGCCCTGGCCTGAGGATGGGTACGGCCGCCTTCTGCTGTTCCTGTTCCTCCTCCATGAACTGTCCTGACGGTTCTGCGGCTGGTAGAACTATGGAGGAGGTTGCAGCCTAAATGTTTATGCTGTGTAGCGGGAGAATGGAGGCCCAACAATTTGAGAGTGGCCCTTGAATCCTTTAGGCTATGCAGCCTTTTATCCATCTTTTCGGAAAGCAGAGCCGAACCCTCGAAGGGGAGGTCCTGAATAGTTTGTTGGACCCCATATGGCAAGCCCAAGACTTGAAGCCAGAAGTCCCTCCTCATAGCTATGCCTGTGGCCATGACATGAGTAGCCGCATTCGCTGAATCCAGTGCGGCTTGTAGCGAAGCCCTGGAAATGAGTTTCCCTTCCTCCACGACAGCAGAAAACTCGGCGCGGGAGTCCTGCGACAACAGCTCCACAAATTTAGCCAGTGCCCCAAATGTGTTGAAGCAGTACCTGCTGACAATGGCCTGCTGATCTGAAATGCAGAGCTGTATGTATCCAGTGGAGTAGACCTTTCTCCCATAAAGGTCAAGTCTTTTCACCTCCCAATTCTTCGGGGAGAGTCCCTGGAAGCCCTGACGCTCGCATTGGTTGGCAGCATCAACCACGAGAGAGTCAGGTGTGGGATTGCGTGCATAAATGCTCATAACCCTTGGACGGTACAAAGTAGCATCTTTCGTTGTGCTTAGCCGTAGGGGGCAACAAGGCTCGGGTCTGCCATGGATTTTGTGGTGTCAGAGATGGTCTTTAGGAGGGGCAGGGCAATACATGCAGGACGGGAGGGGGCGAGGATGTCCACTATTGGATCTGCATCCTCCACTACCTCCTCTACCTGAATGCCCAGGCCCTGGGCAACCCTCCGCAACAAGTGCTGGAGAACCCTGCAGGCTGGGGCTGTTGCCATGCCTGCCAACGCCTCACCTGGCGAGGACGAGGAAGAGATCCCCGTGAGGGGTGGCTGGTCCCTTTCTTCCGCACCCAAGGGGTCCCACGGCACCTGGGTTTCTTGGGCTGGTGCTGACCCAGATGGTGTCGTGCCCCTCAGTGTAGGGGCTGCATACACCGACACAGGCGCAGCCGGTGCCGAAAGTGCCATCTGTGCCAATGCCATCCTCGACGTTGGAATCAATGTTGCTGCTGGTACCGGAGTTCCCCCCTGGGCCCAGCTGCGCCAGAGGCGTTGAGATGGTAGCGCAGGCTGGTAATGGGCCTATCCCCAACCCTGGTGGTGCTAGTGGGGGTACAAACGAGGCCACGGCCACCGACGTCACCCTGGAATGAGACCCTTGGCTGTGACCTTGGCTTTGATGAAAAGCCCAGGGAGTCCAAAAGGGCCATTGCACCGTTGGCTGCCATTGGGCAGGCCACGGTGATGGGTATGGGTGCCAGTCCCAAGTTGATGTGGACCGTCTGCTCCTACTCCTCCGGGACCAATAGGAGCCCAACTCCGATTCTGAGGTGTCTGAAAACGATGACCATGGGGAAGTGGTACTTCTAGGAACCGAGCTTTCGCGCCGGGGCTTGGGGATTGGAGTGGCTGCTGGGTTTACTCCAGTGCCAGGGAGTGGCGCATTGGGGTCAGAGATCAGCGGGCCATCATAGCAGGCTTTCCCCTTGAAAGAGCCCGGGGAACAACCGGTGCCGGTGACCTGTCCCGTTTGGGAGGAGAGAACGGTGCCTTGAGGTGAAGCAGTTCTTGGACCACCTCAAACACCTTTGGTGTCAAAGGGAGGTGCAGCTCACAGCTCAGCCTCAGCGAGCGTGGAGGGTCCGGACTCAACTGCCCTTCCACACAGGCAGGAGTTGGCACGACCATCACTGGTGGAGCAGCACTAGTGTGGCCCAACTCAGGTCTCACAGCGGCAGGCTCCGTAGGCCTAGCAGGGGGAGAGCGACCGCTCTCCAGCCTCCTCCTCTTTTGTGGCACCAGCAATTGTGAACGATGTCAGTGTGCGGCATGTGAGCCGCGAGTGGAGTCGGGATGGTGCAGTGAGTCCTTATCCTTACCCAACACTAGTGCTCGTGCTGATGGTGCCGGAGCACTCTGCACAGAGGAGGTGGTACTTGGCGCAGGGTCCATGATCCAAGGTTGGACCAGGGGTGGAGCGCTGCCTCCATCAACAGGACCTTCAGGCGCTGCTCTCTATCTTTTAAAGTCCTGGGCCGAAAGGTGTTACAAATGGCACAACGATCCTTCTGACTGCCCTCTCCCAAACACCTTCGACACGAGATGTGAGGATCGCTTCTGGGCATACACTTGCCACAGGCTTTGCAGGCTCTGAAGCCCAGAGACCCCGGCATGCCCCGGTGTCAGGAAAGCGTAGAAGGGGATTCCTCCCCCGCCAAAAAAGGAAACTTATCTAACACTAACAAACTACTAACTATTAACAACAATGGAAAACTAATGAAGAACAATGTAAGAAACTGCTAAATGTGCTTGTCAATACAAGAGCACAGGGAAGTTCCAGCTAACCATCACTGGCGGTAAGAAGGAACTGAGGGGGTGGCGGGTCGACAGGGCTCTATATTGAGCGCCATAAAGGTGTAACTCCGGGGCGCACCCAGGCTGACCTGATGGATGCTGCTAGGGGAAAAATCTTCCTGCTACCGTGCATGTGCGCGCGCACACACCTGGTTGGAATCGTCATGAACAAGCACTCGAAGAAGAACTCTATAGTTCACAGTTTAAGAACCAATGCACTAAGAGACAATCGGTCCTCAATCCAGGTAAATAACTGAGGTATTAATAGGAGCTCCACATACAGAGGGAGGAAAGAATATATTGAATTTAAGGGTTCTTATAACAGTTTAATGGGCTATTGTCATTGGGCTAAACATTGAGGATACTTTTTGAAAATAAAGTTTAATCCAACTTCTTTGTAGAGTCCACTCTAGAAACCTCCTTGAGAAAAGACTAATGTACATCAGCTCCTGACTAAATTAAACACCCATTAAAATTAGCTTCTTGATAATCACAATCTCATAGAAGAATTAAATTGCATAACTGGAAGGGACCTCGAGAGGTCTTCTAGTCCCCTGCACTCAAAGCAAGACTAAGGGCTGGTCTACACTGGGGGGGCGGGGGGGAGAGAGGATCGATCTATCCATCTAAGATATGCAACTTCAGCTACGAGAATAGCGTAGCTGAAGTCGACGTATCTTAGATCGATTTACCTCAGGTCCTCACGGCGCGGGATCGACCGCCGCGGCTCCCCCGTCGACTCTGGTGGAGTTCCGGAGTCGACGGGAGCACGTTCGGGGATCGTCTAGACAAGATGCGATAAATCGATCCCCAATAGATCGATTACACCTGCCGATCGGCGGGTAGTGAAGACGTACCCTAAATATTATCTAGACCAGTGGTTCTCAACCTATTTACCATTGTGAGCCGCATATGAGCTCTCTGTGTGTTATGTGGGATGCATCCACACAATATATATATATACACACACTAATTGTATGGCCCTGAGGAGGTCACATGGGCCGCAGCAACGTGCTGATTGGGCAAGTGGCCTGTGGGTTGGGAACCACTGAGCTAGACCATCCCTTACAGGTGTTTATTGAACCTGCTCTTAAAAATCTCCAGTGACGGAGATTCCACAACCTCCCCAGGCAATTTATTCCAGTGCTTAACCACTGTAACAGTTAGGAAGTTTTTCCTAAAGTCCAACCTAAACCACTCTTGCTGCAATTTAAACCCATTGCTTCTTGTCCTATCCTCACTGGTTAAAGAGAACAATTTTACTCCCTCTTCCTTGTAACAACCTTTTATGTACTTGAAAACTGTTATATCCCCTCTCAGTCTTCTCTTTTCCACACTATACAAACCCATTTTTTTCCTATGTTCCCTCATAGGTCATGTTTTCTACACCTTTAATCATTTTTACTGCTCTTTTCTGGAATTTCTCCAATTTGTCCACATCCTTCCTGAAATGTGGCGCCCAAACTGGACACAATACTCCAGTTGAGGCTGTATCAATACAGAGTAGAGTGGACACAACACTCCTGCTAATACATCCCAGAATGATGCCTGCTTTTTTTGCAACAATGTTACACTGTTGACTCATTTAGCTTGTGATACACTATGACCCCCGGATCCCTTTCCGCAGTACTCCTTCTTAGGCAGTCACTTCCCATTCCGTATGTGTGGAATTGATTGTTCCTTCCTAAGTGGAATACTTTGTATTTGTCCTTATTGAATTTCATCCTATTTACTTCAGACCATTTCTCCAGTTTGTCCAGATAATTTTGAATTTTAATCCAACCCCTCCTAGCTTGGAATTGTCCACAAAATTTATAAGTGTACTCTCTATGCCATTGTCTAAATAACTGATGAAGATATTGAACAGAACCAGACCCAGAACTGATCCCTGAGGGACCCCACTTGATATGTCCTTCCAGCTTGACCATGAACCACTGATTATTACACTCTGGGAACAGTTTTCCAACCAGTTATGCACCCACCTTATAGTAGCTCCATCTAGGTTGTATTTCCCTAGTTTGTTTTGAGAAGGTCATGTGAGGTAGTATCAAAAGCCATACTAAAGTCAAGATATACCACCTATATCTCCCTGTAGAAACTCTCAAAATAGTGTTATTAACGAGTTATAATGTGAAACAGCTGAAGGCTGAAGATTTTCTATCTCTGATTTAAAAAACGACAAGTCTACACAAAAGCTGCATATATCCCCTCCTTTATTTTTCAACGCATCTTGTGAGGTATTTATTTCTACCACAGATAAAGTCAAAGGATCTGGCAATGTCTATCCTAATTTTTTCAGCTAGTATATTCTACCCAGGTGTCAATGGTATAATGTGTGTGCAAGTTATTTAAATTATCTTTGGTTAGATCGGCATATCTGTAGTTATTAGCTATAAGGTTTAGAAGTGTGCCCTTTATTTTATTGGGAAGCATAAAAATAAAAACAGTACAGGCACTAGGCAGACAGGCAGTGAAATATGCTTTTGATTTCACTTCTGACTTGAATAACTCATTTCCAATGTAAAATAAAGCCTTTCCACTCTTTGGGCAGTCTCAGAGACAAATACGTCTTACGGCTTTACTGAAAACCTTTACCATTCTACAGACTTTAAAGAATTCACCTCATAGGATGGGATGGCCTTGGGAGGCAGTGTGTTAAAGCATCATGCTGTGTCAAATTTCACTCCCTATAGTGACTGCTCATTGCCTCTGAATAACACAAAGTCGGTGCAGTGTTTTACATGATTTGGGGCACAGAAACACTGCCACTACTATTGCTATTTTCTGCAAATGTTACCTCTGTGAGCAAAATCAAATCGGGTGAATCGTAACAAAAGACAATAAGAAATCAATTACCATTTGAGCTTCTGTCCAAGAAGGCATTAGAAATCAACGAGTTAGGGAAGAATAGCAGAACATGAAGTTTGCTGTTCTTCTGGAAAGTGCAGTATGAACGAGAAAATGTGTTAGCACCATCTGTAATGTAAGGCAGAACAAAAGACCCTGTGCCAGGGAAACTGATGTTCCACATTTCTGCACAAATGTGGAAAAGTTGATGATGATATTCCCCCAGGCCTCATGCTGCTGCAGCATTTATGGTTTGTTTGTACAGCATTATTACTACAGATATCCACACAAAGCTAATTGTGATTAAGCTGTTTTGCTTTGGTAAGAAAACAAACTCGAAGTAATACCAGGGAGGCCATGAGAGTTTACCTTTTTGATTAGCAACACAAACATACTTCCAATCTTTTACTTGTTTTAACCCAGTGTGGGACTTACAGGCCCTACAGTTTTGTGGTGCTTCAGTGCCAATTTCTGCAGCAGATACTGATACATTCTTTGGCAGGGAAATGGAAATCTCCTGCTTGTTTGGAGAGAGCAGATGCATACCCATGAGCTTCAATGTGAGCAAAAAATGGAAGAAGTCTTTGAATGCCAGGTTATTAATAAAAATGCCAGGGCTATGAATAGGCTTTAAGATTGTCAGAAACAAATCTCTGAGGTGCAGGTGTAAACTGTCCTAGTGTTGCTGGTTCTGCCACAAAGCTAGCACCACTTTGTGTACAAGAAAGCAAAGCACCTTCCCAAACAAGTAAGAACAATGGTTGTATTGTTAAGGCACTCATCTGGGGCCCAGGTGATCTGGGTGCAGTTCTCAGCTCACAGATGTCTTGTGTGACCTTGGGCAAATGACTTGATCTCTGTGCCTCAGTTCTCCATCTATAAAAATGGGAATAATAATTCTTCCTGTCTTCTACCATTGGTCTGTCTTATTTATTTAGATTGCACACTCTTCGGGGCAGGGTCTGTCTCGTACTGTGTTTGTAAAGTAGCTAGCCCCTGGGACCCCTATTTCAACTGGACTAGGTGCTACCATAAATACAGATATGCTTTGAAAGACTAAAATACTTAATTCAAATCCTATCCTCTCAAAATACATATAATTGTAAGTTAGAGTTACTAAGAATGTTTATGGATCACTTATTGTAAAGGAAAGGAGAAAAGTAATTATTACAAGAAGCAGTAGGGTTCATCCCCCTGCACAACCTTTCAGCCTAAACCAATCTTTTTGTTTCTTAAAAGAAAAATCAGACTGTATTTACTTGAGAATTTTGCCAGCAGTTGGCTGGTCCTGTCCCCAGTAGTAAAGATCTAATCCAAAGGGTATTATAGGAGCTTTAGCTCTTTCTTCTTCTAGTTTTCCTGTCTCACTGTCAAGCTCTCCTGAAGCTGCTGGCTCGGGATTTGCAGACGCACTGGAGAAAGATAATAAAAAGTCAATAGAGAACAATAATGATCACAACTATTTCCCTGCTTTTTCTAACCTTTTGCACCAACACTCACGTTATCTAAGATCCACTAGGACTTCTACTATCTACTTTACTTGGTTTGTTCTTTAGGATATAGAGCGTGATGCTGTCATACAAGCAGAGCACAATATATAGTTAAGCTTATCAGAACACCCAGCTCATGCTGCTTAAAAAGATGTTTCCCCAGTCTTGTGGGAACCTAAAGGTCTACATGTGATGTAATAATGGATCATAGATGGTGTAGTACAACAGAAGGCACAGTGAGGGTGGTATTGCAAACCTAATTCAGAACCGTCTTGCTTCTGTAGATTTATGTCCATATTTGTACTGTCATTACATAGATTGCAACATCCTTGTTTTGTGTGCACAGCATTCCATCTCCCAGACTTGCACCATTGGGGTTTTCAGCAACACCACCAATTCAACCTTTCCCTTAGCAGAAGTTTTGTGTTACAGAAGGACAAAAGTGTATAAAGACAAGAGGAAGGTAAGGTTGTCAGCTGTACTCAAACACAGTACTCCAAAGTATATTGGTATAAAGGGGTTTTTACCAGGTGCATCATTAGCAAGTAAAGGGATGGCCTTCCACTATTTGACTAAAGAATGCCACACTACTAGTTATGCAATGTTAGATGATAATTCACTAAACCCAAAACATGAAGTTGCAGAGCCTAAGCACTTCAGTAGCCCAAATTATGATGGTCTCACTAACTTATAGTATTAAAACACATAAACGTGTCTTTTTTTCAATTTAGAAATCTAAATTTTTAAGTTTAGTTTGTTATTGCCGTATTGATTAAACCCTCCAGAAAACTAATGGAGTACAGTACTTTGCAAGGTTGTGCTTCAGCTTCTGCTAGCTTTTTACACTGTACAAGTGTCATTTTGGGAGATGCCAGTCCATTAGGAGGTTACTCCAGTCACAGGGAATACTAGGGTCCACCCTCACAAATTTGCAAGCATGGCATATCAATCTACCACTACAGTAAAACCTCAGAGTTATGAACATCACAGTTATGAATTGACTGGTCAACCACACACCTCATTTGGAACCGGAAGTACGCACTCAGGCAGCAGTAGAGACAAAAATAAATAAATAAATAAAAATTAAAAAAGCAAATACGATACAGTACTGTGTTAAACATAAACTACTAAAAAAAATAAAGGGAAAGTTTAAAAATAAAGATTTGACAAGGTAAGGAAACTGTGTTATGCTTGTTCCATTTAAATTAAGATGGTTTAAAGCAGCATTTGTCTTCTGCATAGTAAAGTTTCATAGCTGTAGTAAGTCAATTTTCAGCTGTAAACTTTTGAAAGAACAACCATAACATTTTGTTCAGAGTTATTAACAACCTCCATTCCCAAGGTGTTCGTAACTTTGAGATTCTACTGGAATTCATAGTTAGGACTGAAATTTCAGCAAGCTCTGAATAGGATTGACAAACGATAGTTCTTTGAAATCAGTATGACAGGCCTCAAAAGCTGGCATTTATGACATAGTAAGTCACTAGGAAATCCAAGGCTTTTGAAACTATTTATTTGCTAACCTAGTATTAGGATTTGCAAACCAAAACATTCCTCCAGCAAACAGAACCTTTTTTTTGGATGGGATCCCCATGATAAGTTCTTAGTAATAGATTTTCTAAAGAATCTATAAAAAATTATTAGCAAAACCTACATTTCTAATCACGCACGTGTTAAGACTGGGTATAAAAAATTATTATTTTAAATACAAATAAGTAATATTTTATAGCCTAATCCAGTGGTTCTCAAACTTTTGTATGGTGTGACTCCTTTCATACACAGCAAGCCTATGAGTATGACCCCCCCCCCTTATAAATTAAAAACACATTTTAAAATATTTAACACTATTATAAATGCTGGAGGCGAAGCAGGGTTTGGGGTGGAGGCTGACAGCTTGTGACCTCCCAAGTAATAACCTTGAGACCCCCTGAGGGATCACAAACCCCAGCTTGGCCTAATCTCTTCTAGCTTGCCCCGTTTCTGGGTGTACTTTCTGGGAGTGCTTTTGTAGCTAACAGAGTCAAGGAACATCATAGTGATATTTCTAGAACAAATAAAATGATCATGACCTGGTATTTAGGGATGGTAACTTAGGTAGCTTATCTCGGATAAGCTTCAACGTTGCAGCAGCACAGGTTGGATCAAGTTCCTCTTCATTCTTTTTTGACTGGGAGTGGAAGCTCAGCAAAGCTGGCTTCACGACCATTCCTTTTGCTAATGCTTTCGGAGATGATTGGGGCTCCAACCCTGAAAAAACAACAACAACAACAAAAAAACAGCATGTTTAGAAGGGGAAAAATAATGCCTATAAAAAGAAAAGTCTTACAACTACACCACAGTGTTTGGTAAGGCTAGCAAAGCAGTGGATAGATTGTGGCTACATCACTGACTATTTTTTGTTGCAATGGCATCAACCAGCATGTTACTGATACAAGCCAGTAGATACAGTACTATTTCTACTATGGAGAAAATTATTATTATTTTGGTACAAACAAGTATTATTACCCTATCAACTGTAAAACCTCATTATGACATTGTATTATTCCACCAGGAAAGAAAAGTTAAACAACAAAAAGATGTCCAAATTGCTACATTGTTTTTGACATGACTGTTGCTGGTAATATTCTCACATCAGCCCTCTCAGGGTCCATACCATACTCACTGCTAATCCAAGGCAGAGTAGTATGTGAAAGGAACTATGAATATTATATCCATGAGTGATGCTAAAGATAAGTTCCCTATCTAATACAGAAATGCAAAAAAAAACAAAGTTGCAGAGCAGCAGAAGAAAGAAAACAAACAGACTTAATAGCCATAGGCTCCCCTGTGCTGTGGTTGCTTTGGTGTAACAATCCCTGTGCAAAGCAGACCTAAACTTGGCACAACCAGTCACAGGGGATAACTCTGATGTAGGGATATTCATTGGTGGTGTAGAGCTGACATAGCAGGTCCAACAACAACCTCCACCTTACCACCACCACAGCTAGTTAGGGAGCATGGCTAGTGAGAAAGAGCTGTGTGGCAAGGCTTTTCCTCCAACCTGGTGATGCCTGCAGAAGCACAGGGCATGTCCACCAAAGCAGCATCCTCATAACAATCTGACATGATTGAGGAACAAACCCACTGCAAGATCTTCAGCACCAAAAGCTCAGCTACTGCAGTGATAGGGGCAATATAATTGTTTACATAGGCAGACAGACAGTTAAGATTAGTGAAAATTAGATTAGATTAGACAAATCAAAAGCATAGACCTCTACCCGCTGAACTGAAACAGCAGCTCCATTAGCAGATAGTAGTAATAGGCTCTGATTCTCCAGGAGGCCCAGCCAGTAGAGGAAGACCTGATGACATGCACTTATCCAATAGTTTACATTTTCACTTTTCAAACAAATAAAGTAAGCATCTTTATAAGAGACGTGAACCCAAGTACAAACTGTAAGACCAAAACAACAAAAACTATTGTTCCATGGGAAGGAAAGTTTGAGCAAGCTGTTGCAGCCTTCATCTGGAAAACAACCCAGTTTGCTTGAAGTCTTTCCCACCATCTATCCCACCCTTCATTTCTTAACTGGCAGCACTGAACATCTAGCATGCTCACCTATTCCTTCCATTTCTTAACTTGAGCACTGGGCAAGTGACAGTGTTTGACACACTGTCTAAAAATCTTATGTAAAAATTCATTTTAATTGGCTTTGATATGAGCACTGCAAAATTTATTGGAAACCAGCTAGATAAGAGAAATGATAATTAAGAATAATGGGATGAGCAGAGGAAAATATAGGCTAAAGGTTGGAATCTTAACAGGGAGGTCTATTAGACTGTAGAACAGCCTCTCAAGGAACATTGTGGAGATCATCACTGAAGTGTTTTTAAAAAAAATGGTTACTCACCTTCTCGTAACTCTTGTTCTTTGAGATGTGTTGTTCATGTCCATTCCAATCAGGTATGTGCGTGCACACGTGCACAGTAGCTGGAAGATTTTTCCCCTAGCAGCAACCATAGGGTCGGGCTGGGCGCCCCCATGGAGTCGCACCTCCATGGCGCCTAATACAGAGCCCTGCCGATCCGCCACCCCATCAGTTCCTTCTTGCCCGCTACTCCAACAGAGGTGTACGAGGGTGGATATTGGAATGGACATGAACAACACAACTCGAAGAACAACAGTTATGAGAAGTTGAGTAACCATTTTTTCTTCTTTGAGTGCTTGTTCATGTTGATTCCAATCAGGTGACTCACAAGTCCACGTTCAGGAGGTGGGGTCGGAGTCATCCACTGATTGGAGCACTGCTCGTCTAAAGGCCACATTGTCTCTGGACTGTTGGGTAATCGCATAGTGCACAAAGAAAGTGTGTATGGAGGACCACGTCGCTGCTCTGCAGATTTCCTGAGTAGCGATCCGCACCAGGAATGCTGTTGATAAAGCCTGTGCCCTGGTGGAGTGCACAGTGATCAGGGGTGCGGGAACTCCCGCCAAGTTGTAGCACTCATGGATGCAGAATGTGATCCATGACAAAATGCGTTGTGACAACACGGGTAGGCCTTTCATTCTGTCTGCCACAGCCAAGAATAGCTGGACTGATTTTCTGAACGGCTTCGTCCTCTCGAAGTAGAAAGCTAGCGCCCTGCAGACATCTACTGAGTGCGGCTTAGGGTAGAACACCAGGAGAAAGATGTCCTGGTTAATGTGAAACTGCAATACAACCTTCGGGAGGAAAGCAGAATGAGGTCTGAGCTGCACTTTGTCCTCATAGAACACTATATAAGGGGGCTCTGAGGTTAGGGCCTTGAGTTCAGACACCCTCCTGGCCAAGGTTATCGCCATCCGAGGGAGATTGGCCTCTCTCCGACCTCTTTTTCTTCTGAGCCGGCAATTGGGACTGGTGCCCAAGGCTGGAATGTCCCTGAGAGGCTCGATGCCGGTGCCAAGCTTCCTTGCTAGCATCTTTCTTTGGCACCGGATCCTTCAAAGACAGAGCTGGAGGGCTTCGCGGCAAAGACAAGGTGCTGAGAGCAGGGTCCCTGGGACCTGGGTCCAACTGAGGTCGGAGAGCTGCCTCCATAAGGAGAATTTTGAGATGCTGCTCTCTCTCCTTAATGGTTCTTGGTCAGAAATCCCGACAGCTCTTGCAGCAGTCTTTCTGGTGACCCTCACCCAGGCACCGTAAACAGGTGGTGTGGGGGTCACTTTTTGGCATGCACTTCACGCAAATCTGACAAGTCTGAAAGTCCAGGGATCATGGCATGCCCCGGTAACAAATGGGGTGTGCGTGAAATGGGGGGGCGGGAACCACCCGTAACTGAAACTTCTAAAGAACTACTAAACTATACTACCAGACTACCGGATGGTCCCAGCTACCATCACTGGCAGCAAAAAGGAACTGAGGGGGTGGTGGGTCATCATATTGGGTGCCATGAAGGCATGACTCCAGGTGGTGCCCAGGCCAAACCAACAAGTGCTGCTTTGGGGAAAAAAATCTTCCAGCTACTGTGAACGTGCACACACCTGATTGGAATTGACATGAACAAGCACTCGAAGAAGAAAAAAGCGGTACATTCCGTATCTTTTGTTCTTCGAGATATGTTGATCATGTCCATTCCAATGTAGGTTTATGCACCACCACTGGAAAGTTTTTCCCGTCAGTGGTATCCATCAGGTCGGCTCCGGTGGCCCCTGGAGTTGCGCCCTCATAGTGACAGTACATAGGGACTTGCTGCACCCTCAGTTCCTTCTTGCCTGCTAACTCTGACAGAGGAGTAGGAGTTCGGGTTGTGGAATAGACATGAACAACACATCTCGAAGAACAGCAGCTATGGAAGGTTAGTAACCATTTTTTCTTCTTTGAGTGCTTGCTCATGTCCATTCCAATGTAGGTGACTCCCAAGCAGATGTAGGAAGAGGGATCAGAGTTCAATGACAAGCAGACTGTAGCACTGCTCTGCCGAATCCAGCATCGTTGCTGACCTGCTCAGTGAGGGCATAGTGAGCTGCAAAACTGGGCTGAAGACCATGTTGCCACTCTACGGATATCCTTGATGGGAACCTGTGCCACAAATGCAGCTGAAGACGCTTGTGCCCTTCTGGAATGTGCCATCAGGGCCGGAGCAGGGACTTTCACCAGGTTGTAGCACAGACAGATACAAGAAGTGATCCACGAAGAAATTTTCTGGGTTGAGATTGGGAGACCTTTCCTCCTGTTTGCCACTGCCATGGAAAGCTGAGTAGTCTTCCTAAATAATTTAGTTCTTTCTATGTAGAAGGCCAGCACCCACCTGACATCTGGTGAATGAAGTCTCTGTTCCTGCCTGTTGGCATGTGGTTTTGGGTAGAAAACTGGGAGGAAAATGTCCTGGTTATTGTGGAATTGCAACACCACCTTTCAAAGGAAGGCAGGGTGAGGGCACATTTGGACCTTATCCTTAAAGGAGACCGTGTATGGAGGTTCTGAAGTAAGGGCCCTAATCTTCGAGACCCTTATGGCCGAGGTGATGGCCACCAGAAAGTCTACCTTCCATGACAAGTAGAGTAGAAATCACATTGCTAAGGTCTTGAACGGGGAACCACCTATGTCAGGAAGCTCTCTGCCTGTGGGAATTCTGCATATCCCACTTAATTCACCTCGGCTCCTATCTCCCTGAGGGACAGAACAAGTTAGCGGATTGCCTCAACTGGTCTTTCTCCAATCACGAATGGTCCATCCGCCGGATATCATAAAGAATGTTTTCTAGAGGTGGGGAACTCCCCGATACGCCGGTTTTGCAACCAGACACAACTGAAAGCGTCTTCAGTTCTGTTCCTTTCTGAATCACAGCCTGGGCTCATTCATGAAAGCGTTTTTCCTTCCCCGGCGAGACCATCTTTACTACGCATTCCCCCCTTTCCTCTCATATGCAAGGTTCTGCTGAAGGTTAGAGAGGAAGTCACAAACCTGATCCTGATAGCCCCGGCCTGGCCTCGCCAGCACTGGTTTACCACCCTTCTGGATCTTTTGGTGGAAACACCAATCAGCCTACTTCTGTTTCTGGATCTCATCTCTGAGGATCACGGATGCTTACATCATCCGAACCTCAAGTCCCTCCATCTTATGGCCTGGAAGCTCCAGGGCTGAACCCCTTGGAGTTAGCATGCTCAAGTCTGGTTCAAGAAGTTCTTTTAGAGAACAGAAAACCATCCACTAGGGCCACATACCTGGGAAAATGGAAAAGTCGATCTGGACAGCGCAGAAAGGGTCTCGCTCACGTGATCATCA